CTTTACAATGAAAACAAGAGCTCTGGAAATCTAACTATCCGTGCTATAATCTTACCTCTTCTACAATACGTGAGTCTCTTTCTATTTCACATCACAACGAATCACACAACGTAAAAAAAAAGTTATGGCCTGATCAGAATTCAATTGCCGAATCAACACAACATGCCTCCTTTAGGATGGCAACACTCTGCACTTCCTTACATGCACACAGAAACCTACTCCTGCCTCCCAAGTGGATTTTCCCCTTCTTAGAATTTTTTACATCTCAGACATTCTAATTGCTCCCAGACACACAGACTGAAAGTGACAAGGGAAACAAGCTGTGCTTGCCTATATAATCTTATATGACGGTTGTTGCACAGCGCTATAACAATGTGCCTAATTTCTTTGTTCAGACAAAGAAAATGTTTCAAAGCTGGAGGGTTTTTTTTTTTATTATTCTTATTCTTTCAGTCTAAGTCGCTCTCTCTTTCAAAGAGTGCCAGTGGTAAGCACATAAATATATTCATGAGCTCCGTCTCATGCTTTGGAAAGGTACAATAGATAGAAAATAAATACCATATGAAATTTGTTGTGGTACAGTGGGCTTGGCATCTGAAACCCATACATTTTCCCCCCTCCAGCGGATGCCTTGTTCCAGCTGTTGGCAGGAGAAGCTGGCTACCTCTCAAACACTAGCCAGCTGAGAGCTTTTCATCAGTAGGCACCTGATGAAAGTCAGCAGAATACATGAAATGGGAGAAGTAACTTGCAGCCTGTTCCCCCAGAGGAAACATTAAATCTGTACAACGTAATCAGGTTTCAGGAGCAGATGCTGGCCTTTGGGGAATGGGTTGTTAGAATGTCTCTTCCTAATGCTTCCTGTTACTCCATTCCTGACCTTTGAACCTGAATGACTCCCACCAATCAGTGCCTTGATTTCCTGCCTTCCCAGGACAAAAGTCTGCTGCTCCCATTTCTGGGGTGAGCAAGGAGAAAATCTTGTTTATATTTCTCTAATATTTGCCTTCTGTTTTGCATTTGCAGTTTCTTCAAAGATACGGGCGCAACGCCTGCCAAGATTCCAGAGAAGATAGCCTTAGAAATGTAGACCATTTTTTTTCCCAAGCAAATTCAAAGAAAACAAATGTCAGGCCAAGAGTTGATATGAAATAGTTTAAAAATGAGAAAAAGCTGCCTTAGAGCTAGGTTTACATTAAAATAAATTTCTGCACAGAGGACTTGACTGAATTTCTCTCTCTGAAAGAAGAAAGGAAGGGTGGGGGAAGGAAGGGAAAGGCAGGAAAGGATAAAGTTACCTGCCAATTCGGTGCCGCGTTTCTGGGCAGGCAAGGTATGATGAGACAGGGCTTGGAGGAAAGGGCTTTGCACAAAAATTAGCCAGATTTTTTGGTGAGCATGCAACTTTGGACATGGTGCTGTCTGGGGCACATCCCTCTAGTTTTTTCTGTATCTCTCCTCAGGCTAGCAACGAGCCCTTGGCAACCATTAGCAAATGGGTCTTTACACCACCACGGGGAAGGGGCAAAACGTTCCAGCCGCTCTTTTACAAAGGGGAACGGATGTACAGCGAGATTCTGTGATTTGTTGAACGTTGTCAAACAGCTTACTCCTCAATACAGCCCAGCGCGGATGGCTTCCAGGACCACTTGTTTAGCCAGCTCTGTATCTGACCATCAGCAGGGCAGTGGGAAGGGCTCTGGATACCAGCGCAGTCAGGGCCCAGAACCACAAGGAACTGGGGGGCTGAACCCTCTTCCTTTCCCACTCAGTTCAGTGGAAGTTCAAGAGCATGGATTGAGCTATGGCAGCATGTGGCCTTTGGCTTGATCCTGGGCCAGGTCATGTACACCCATGAGGCCAGGGCAGTGGGTGTTGAAGGGCCCAGTTCCCCAACCCATCCTCATGGGAACAGTTCCACGGCCATCCAGGGAACCCCTGGCGTGACTAGTCCAGCAAAGGGCTCAGCATGGTCCCCCGAACAGGTCCATTTCAGCTGTCTCTCTCCCTACCCCAGTGTGAATCCCCGCAGCTCCGCCTTCCCAGCATACTGCACTGTGGGATGCTTACCCACAATGCTTTGCTCTATCTGTCGACAGGGTGTGAGCCATGTGGCCATGAAACATCTACAATGGTTTGACCGTTTTTCACTTTGGGCAACTTTTGTGTGGTGACAGCACTTTCCTCGCCAAACCGTCCCCGTGTAAACACAGCCTCCACCAGTATGAACGTTTTACACAGTGGAAGATCATAGAGTTCACTCCCTTTATCAGCGAGAGAGAAATGTGCACAGCTGTTGTGTCCCTCCCCACCCCCATCCCGGCGGTAACAATTATTTACACTGGGCTTGATACTAAACAAAAGGGATGTTATTAAGTCTGAAAAATAGGATTTAAGAAGCATGATCAGCACGTCAGGTGACAGTCTCAAGGGGATCTCTGGGACCCAATTCATCACACCTGGTTTATACCACAGTGACTTCAATGGAGCCCCTTCTGAATTGCACCTTTGTCAGAAAGGTCAGAATCAGCCCTCTAGCTGCTACATCACCATTGATAGCACCAGTTGAGTGTGAGTGTCACCCCCAGTTCTCTACAAACCAACAGTTCCCCGAGGGGCAGCAGAGTCACAGCTCCCTGAACAGGAAACATGGAATAAATATTTCCAGTGTTGCAACGCCAACTTTTTGAAACGCCAACGCACCCTTCAGATGCCCAGTCCAAGCCAAGCAATACAGGGTAAGCCCATTGTCTAGTCAGTAAAAAACTCGCTTTCTAAAATCGCAATGTGTCCCTTCTGGGGTGGTCACATGTTCAATAATTCTTGCCCCCCTATGTTCTAGCGACATTTACTAATCACATGTGCAATAATCCACTCTGTGCATCAACCAGACAGAACCTCTTGTCTTCCTACTGTGTTTGCTACAGGCTCTCGTTTCATGGACAAGCAGCAGTGGATTTACACATGCAGAGAGCTTCTAGTCCACAGTTTGTGCAGAAGACGTGCTTCATTCCCCTCAGATAACCAGCACGTGCTTCATCCCCCCCAGATAACCGGCATGTGCTTCATTCCCCTCAGATAACCGGCACGTGCTTCATCCCCCCCCAGATAACCGTGTTTGCTACAGGCTCTCGTTTCATGGACAAGCAGCAGTGGATTTACACATGCAGAGAGCTTCTAGTCCACAGTTTGTGCAGAAGACGTGCTTCATTCCCCTCAGATAACCAGCACGTGCTTCATCCCCCCCAGATAACCGGCATGTGCTTCATTCCCCTCAGATAACCGGCACGTGCTTCATCCCCCCCCAGATAACCGGCATGTGCTTCATTCCCCTCCCCCCCAAGATAACCATCACATGCCTCATCCCCCCCCAGATAACCATCAAGTGCTTCATCCCCCCCAGATAACTGGTATGTGCTTCACCCCCTCCCCCCC